ATTTTATATTTTTCTATTTTATATTAATATCAGATATATAGTACAATGGCTAGACATTTATATAATTTACGAAGTAATCCCCCCAATTACTCTAGTCATGACACACAATAATATTGACTGTTTTCCCTATGCTGTAATCTACATCCCCGTGACTGTTTTTTAACTGCTAATTTGTGCTTCTTTATCACTTTACCTTTTTCACCCACTCCCCTAACCCCCTCTCCTCTGGCAATCACCAGTTTGTTCTCTGTATCTGGGAGTTGGTTTTTGTGTAGTTTGTTTCTTTTTTTATTTTTATAGTTGGCATACAATATTATATTAGTTTCAGGTGTACAACATAGTAATTATACAGCTATATAACTGTGATCACCCCAATAAATCTAGTGCCCCTCTGATACCATACATAGTTATTACAATATTATTGACTATATTCCTTATGCTATACTTACTATCTCTATGACGATTTTATAACTACCAATTTGTACTTCTTAATCCCTTCCCCGATTTTCAGCAACCTCCCAACCCCCCTCCCATATGGTAACCCTCAAAGTGTTCTCTGTATCTATGAATTTGTTTGTTTTGTTTGTTCATTTATTTGTTCCTTCGGTTCCACATATAAGTGAAATCATGTGGCATTTGTCTTCCTCTATCTGACTTACTCCACTCAGCACACTACCCTCAAGGTCCATCATGAAATATCTTTTTCTATCCCATTACTTTTAGTTTGTGTGTGTCTTTTAATCTGAAGTGAGTCTCTTGTAGGCAGCCAGTGTAAGAGTCTTGTTTTCTTATCCATTCAGCTATCCTATCTTTTGACTGGAGCATTTAATTCTTTTTCATTTGAAGTACTTGTTGATAGGTATGTATTATTGCCAGTCTTTATTTAGACTTTTGATACATAGTTTTTTCTTCTTCTTAAAGAAGTCTATCCAACATTTCCTGTAATATTGGCTTGGTGATAATGAACTCTAGCTTGTTCTTGTTTGGGAAGCTCTTTATCTGTCCGATTCTAAATGATAATTTTGGTGGGTAAAGTAATCTTGGTGGTAGGTCCTGGGTTTTCATCTCTTTGAATAATTCATGCCAATCCCTTCTGGCCTGCAAAGTTTCTGTTGAGAAATCAACTGACAGTCTTATGGGAGATCCCTTGTAGGTAACCAACTGCTTTTCTCTTGCCTCTTTTATGATTCTTTGTCTTTAACCTTTTGCATTTTAATTATGTTGAGTTTTGGTGATCTTTGGGATCACCTCTTTCTTGACTCTCTGAGTTTCTTGGGGTTGTATGTCTATTTTCTTTACCAAGTTAGGGAGTTTTCCATCATTATTTCTTTAAATAGGTTCTTAATCCCCCACTCTCTCCTCTCTTCTTCTGGTATCAGCATTGCGAATGTTGTTAAGCTTGATGATGTCCCAGAGGTCCCTTAAACTATCTTCATTTTTAAAAATTCTTTTTTCTGTTTGCTGTTTTGATTGGGTGTTTTCTGTTACCTTGTCTTCCAAATCTCTGATTCAGTCCACTACTTCATCTTATCTACTGTTGTTTCCTTCTAGTGTATTCTTTATTTCAGTTATTGTATCCTTCATTTCTGACTGGTTCTTTTTATGGTTTCTAAGCTCTTTTCTGTGTTTACTATCTCTTTGTTGATGTTCTCACTAAGTTTCTTGAGCGTCCTTATAACCAGTGTTTTGAACTCCGTATCTATTAGATTGCTTGCATCCATTTTGTTTATTTTTTTTTTCCTGGAATTTTTTTCTGTTCTTTCATCAGATACATGCTTTTTTTTAATCTCCTCATTGTGGCTGCCTCTTTGTGTTTGTTTCATGTTTTAGGTACATCTACAACATCTCCCAGCCTTGGCTGGATGACCTTATGTAGTAGGTATCTGTGAGGCCCAGTGACGCAGTTTCCCTGATCACTGGACCTGGGTGCTCCAGAATTGTCCCTTGTGTGGGTTATGTGTGCCTTCCTGTTATAGTTGAGCTTTGATTGCTGTTGGCATGTCAGCGAGTGGGACTGACTCTTAGGCTGATTGGCTGTGAGTACTAGCCTCATCCACAACCTATGAACTGCTCTGCGGGGGCTGACCATATGGAGCAGGATTCACCTCAGAGGGCTCTGGTGCCTTGCTGAGACCACCCTTTGGTTGTGCTACTTTTTAGAGTAATAGGGTGGTGCTTTGTTGTGGTCTCAAGCTAGCCACCGAGTGTGTTGGTTCTGGGGCCTCTTGGGAGGGGCTCCCTTGCAGGCCAAGTTCAGCTGCTGCTGTGACTGGTATAGGGCTACCTGGTAGGAGCTACAGAGCGATCCTTGTTAGGTTGCTGCCTAGGGCTGGACCCAGAGGCCATGGGAGAGGCTCTGCTGCGAACCAAGGCTGGCTACCACCAGTACGGGGCCTGGGGCAGCTCAGCAAAATACCCAGGTACCTTAAGCTCTGCTGCCACCTCCACCCAGCTTCCCATAAGGCTTAGTCGCTGAAAGAGCCTCTGGCGATAGGTGAGTTGGGTGATGCAGCATCTCAGGGAGTCCCAGGGTGGGGCAAGTGGTGTTCACCAGGTTAATGCAGGTTCGGATTTGACCTCAGTGCTGAGCCTGGGCTCATTCTGCAAATGTTTCAGTGTACATGGAGGCCAGGTACTGCCCCCTGGGCCTGCAGTCCCCTGCTAGTTGTCCAAGAAAGACTGCAGGGTAGGTTGGGGTTAGCTGCCTGCCACTGAAACTGCCTCTGTCATTGTAAGCCAGAGCCAGAGTTTTGCTGGTGAAAGAGCCTCCTGTGATGCAGGAGTTGGGGTGGGGTCCCCGGGAGTCACCAGTGTGGAGTGAGCAGAATTCACCAGGCCAGTCTAGATTCATATTTGGCTATGTGCAGGGAGGGCTCAACACAGGAATGATGGCACCTGCCCATAGGCTACATGGGAGGAGGGCTCAATGCAGGGACAATATCTGCCGCCACTCCAGCCCCTGCCCTGAATCCACACAACCCAATTTCTCCCTGCATGTCTTAGGGCCACGGTCCCTCAGCCAGTGTCCAGGGTGAGTGCCTGGGAGTG